CTTCGTCACCCACACCCGAGACCCATTCAACTGTCAGGTACGCTGGTTCCAGTTATCCAAAAAATGATCAACCTACGTTCCTCGTCAATCTTCCACGATCTTCCTCGTTCGGATAGTGCGAACAGAAGGCTGATCCTGGACGCAGGCAGGGCGTTGCCGGATAGGTGTATTGACCTTTTCTAGCTTTTTCGCACCATATCATCAGCTTCTGGTAGTTCGCATTATATATCGAGCATTCAGCGGCTATTCGAAGATTTGTTATAAAAGTAACAGTGTTTCTTTGTTCTGAGTTTTGAGAATCGCTGCTCTTCCGTTCCCAAAGGTTGTACGGCCAAAAAGATTATTGCGAGTTAGGTACCTGACTCACCCATCTGATAAGATGAGCTTATTGTAGATGTTGGGCATGGAATCAGCTTAGATGTCAGAAAAAATCTGCGCGCTCTACACTGGTTTGGGTCGAAGCAGACTAACAGCTTGCAAGGGCCATAAGAAATGTCCCATCTACCTCAGAATTACCCATTTCAAGCTACCATAAATAGAAACCGACAAATTACACTGCCCATAAAATTTTCTCCTAGGGCAGTTAGCCAGCTAGATCAGATCATGTGAAACTAGTTCAAATGGACTGGGTGTATGAGTCTCCAAATCAAGGTCAACCTCCAAAACGATGCCGATTGGGAATGGCCAGCTATTTTTGGCTTGTATGACGAGTCTGCGGCAGAAAAGCAGCAAATCGCCACACAGAATGTCTTTCAGGTATCTAAGGGCATGTAAGTGCTAGGGTTCGCCTTTCAGCGGAACAAACTAGCCATCCCCCCCCCCCAAGTGTTTTCGAAGAGTAGTCCGAAAAACGCATCATGCAGCAATATCGCTGCAATCTTTCTGGTAGGCGTATTGAAAAGATTCGAGGGCGATTGATGATAGATAAATTCTTGAGCATAGATGAAAGAGTATCAGGATGGGATACAGCGAGCGGGGTCCAGAAACTGATCACATAGTTCCCGAAGCAACTAACCCGTCCCAGGGTCAAGCGAGGCGTCGAGGAAAGCTTGGAGACACGACCATCCTCTCTCTCCCCCCCCCCCTAGTAGTACTCTTCTCTGATTGATGCAACATTCAAAATCAATTGCTAAAGTTTTCACGCTAACGGCTCACCACCTTATAGGTGTGAGGGGTGATGAGCTAGGGGAGCCGAGTTAAGAGCAAAGGTGTCGCGGTGGCCGAACTGGGGGGGCGCACCTGCACGGGCGTAGCGAGGAGGTGCGGGTTCGAGTCTCGCTCCGGGCGAGGTTTTGTAAATAACCTAGCATTCTTGCAAAACTCTGCACTCAGTTCCCATCCGCTCCCGAACAGCCTATCGCTGCTCTGATTACTGATGATTTCGGCTCGTACGACCCCCTTCTCTCACCTCGCCTACAACGACCCATTGTCGAGGATTCCTCAACGCATTGACCCTTGGTCAGATGCACGTTCAAAGGTCACTATGACTCTGAGTAAATGCCAAGTTCATGGCGCGTCTTAGAAGAGCTACTGATTACTTCGATTCGATTTTTCCACTTATTCCGATTTATGAACTTGGATCGTTGCGGGAAGATACCAGGCAGGAAATTTCTCGAAAAGTTGGAGATTTTTCGCGAATTATTGATTGATGTCCTGTGAGATCTACCGATATACTTTAAAATCACCTTCTAAGAAAGGCCACATGGGAACCGGTTCGATAATCCAGTAGTGCATAGCAAACGCAGTTTCTCTACAAGAACGAAAGTTTTTTATCCTCAGTTAGATTTCCAGCCGGTTATAAGAACAGCTTTCGGAGAATATTCCGTAATCCATCATGAGCCCAATTTTTGCTGCTTGCGGCAGCAAATTCGGCAAGGCAAAACACTGTCCTCAAGCTCGTTCCCAAGAATAACAAGATTGGAACCATCCCAAACTTGGGTAAAGGTTGAAAAACTGTGGCTACAGCCAAATTCTTTCATTACACATGAAGGGGAGGGTGAAGGGGAGTCGGGGCTGTTGTGGTGGTGAGGGTGTTGATTATGAGACTCACGGCCCAGGCGACATTTCTTGGACCAGATTCCACCTAACTAAAACCAAACTTCACCCTTCTAATGTCCCCTAAATGGTGCGACGGCGATGAAAGCGTAAAAACACAGAATGTACATGAAAGTCATTGTATAGATCAAAACGCGCCGACATACCGATGCGATCCCGAAAGAAAGAAAAATGCCATGTGCGCCCCAGAAAAGACTCAGCTATGGATTGAAGCCTGCACAAACCATGGGTGACCTTTTGTAGGGGAAAAACAAGCTAGAATTGACATAATTAAGCCTTAGTGAGGTTGAGCTCACGGTTCCTAGCAAAATTCACAAATGAAGGTTCCACTCCTGGCGTGGTTCCAAGCATGCTATACACCTTTACCCTGATTAACTCCAACTGGTTCTGCCGCACTGAGCTTTCTAGGAGAACTGATCGATTCCAACAGGATTTTCGTTGGTATCATGCCAAATGTTGTGAATAAACTCGTGTACAGTGGCGCCTAATCACCCCCCCCCTTTTCCTCCCCCCCACTCACCACACCACATGTGGTCACTGATATTACACGAGTTATAGCCGTCTCCGTCTGGCTTCTTCTTCACTGCTGGAACTCTGAGCATCTCCACTTCCATCTCAAACAACCACCATTTAAAGGAATCCTTCCCGGAAAAATCTTGCGTTCTTTCCCAACACGCATATGTCAGTTGTGCTAGAGACAACATAAAAAGTTTCACGCAAAAAGATTCGCTTTCCGAAGAGAAACAAAACAAGAACCACACTCTATGGACAATCGAAGGTAAAGGCGCGGAGCCAAAGGCGGGGCATGGAAAGAAGTCCGCCTTGGGGCGGCTACGTATCAGGCGACGCAATGAAAGAATCGGGTTAAAGCGTGCGATTTTGGAGAGTAGAGACAAATCGATCGATAGAATAGGATGCAGTAGAAGTGTGAGATGTTAATGCAATAAGTCAAAAGGCCAGAAGAGTTTCCTAGTGACGGCACTCCAAGAACCAAGTGGAAGCATTCCCGTCGCCAGCATTTGTGACAGATGTCCGGCGGTACTTTGAACGCGTTAGCAGCCCTTTCGGATTTTCGGATTTTTTGTTAAAGGAAAACACAGTTTTTCTGTTCTTCGTTCGTTCTTATCGTGAACGATGGGTCCCAAGCCAGTGAATTATGGCTGAAATACAATTGCGACTTTTCCAAGGATTCCTTCAATTAGTTCCTTCACTGGAGTTCGGCCCTCGAGCAGTCATGGGCGAAACCTATAATTAGCACACAATAGAGTCCACGATAAAGGGCAGAGCCGCCACTAACGCACGATCAAGCGTCACAGAAGATCCCCGGCTCGGGTCCTGCTCAAGGCGAACAAGCCATATATCTTGAGGAACGTTGTTCTTTAGTAGTAAGTAGTGAGTGATGTCACCGCAATCAATGAGCTGTCTCACCTCGCTCTTCTCTTGCTATCTCTCTCTTCTTTTTGACTCTAGATGATTATTTTTCGTAGCACAAAAATCCATATCTTAGCTTTATTGACTCATCACGAATTCTAACAAACCATCACACCTATCAAGAAAGATCACACATTCAGAGTACAAACAGCCAAGCTATTGCTCTTTAAAACAGCTCAGCTTCTACCAGTCCGAGTAAGAACACCAGCGAATTTTCTTATCTATTACTATTAGTTGCTAGAACAAATAAGGGCTAGTCTACTGCACTATCACAATGGAAATTTGGATTCTACTTATTAATAGCTTTCAAAAGCTCGGTAGAATTCACGTATTTCTGCACATGCGATTCATCGATGGTAACTCCACGTATCTGAAAGGATTTCACTTTACAAAAGCGTAATAAAAATCAGGAATAAAACCATGTTGATACAAGACAAGCATACAAGGTATGCATGCCGCTTAAGTTCAGCGTGGCAAGAATATCGAAACAAAAAGCGTAATCGATCTACTGCCGCATCGCGACCGCGCGCGTCAAGTCTCCGGAATAAAACTATGAACGATAAAAAAAGCGTGAAGGTGCTAAAGTTTTAGACCTTCAGAATCATTATTATTTCTCGAAATAGCACACTTTAAAGGTGTATCCCTTGAAAATAGAAGTAGAATAATAGGGAAGGAAATAACTCGCCATCATAGGAGGGGTGTTATGATATACATCAGCATAAATTCCATCTTCGGGCAACAATGGAGCTGTAACTGCTACTTTCACAGCATCGTCGACCTCCTTACGGACTTCCTAAGAAAAACAACGAACTAGTTAAGTATTTGTGAAGTAAATCGAAGGCAATCACACTCATACCTTATCAATGGCCTTAAGATCATCTTCCTTCGCGAGTCCAGAAGTAATGAGGCGATCCTTGAAACCAGTGATTGGATCACGAGTTTTGCGAACCTCCTGGATTTCTTCACGTGTTCGGTAGCTGAAAATCACCACTTTTTGCTTGAATAAGCGCTGCAGGAGAAAAAGCACCTACCTTGTTCCAGGGTCGGACATGGAGTGTCCAGAATATCTGTATGTCGCCAGCTCTAGCACTAATGGCCCTTTACCAGCATTACAGTAGTCCTTTGCCCAACGAATCGCTTCACGTACCGCCAACACATCCATACTGTCAACCCAGAGACCAGGAACATAATCACCTCTGAAAGCACTTTACGCTACAATGCTGTACAAATGACAAGCACAAGGTGATACTCGAACCTCATGTAGTAATCAGTCGAGGCGGACGATCTCTCTGCCTGGGTACCCATACCGAAGCCGTTGTTCTCACAGACATATACCACAGGAAGGTTCCAGAGCATAGCCATATTCGTCGACTCATAGAGCTGACCTTGGTTAGCAGCACCATCTCCATAAAGGGTTAGACAGATATTCTTTTGCTTCCTACAAATCCTCTCATTGAAAGTTATCTTTAAACATGAAAAATCTACGAAGACTAGAGCTGACTTGTATTTCATGGCGAATGCGATTCCCGTTCCTAAAGCCTGCTGGGCACCAACAATGCCGTTGCCACCATAGAAATCTTTCTCAAACATGTGCATTGATCCTCCTTTTCCGTGCACAACGCCTGCCATTCTTCCTGAAAACGTAAGAATCACCTTGTTTGGCGTATAGTCGAGAAGAGGTCAACTTGATTGCGCATCACGCTTACTGATTCACACTACAACTTCACAGAAACTTACACTACAGTGACTCGGCAGGTGGTACGGTGGATTAGATGTTGGAGACGGGCAAATCTAATCACTGTGAATAGAGAATAGGTCCCAAGGAAACGAAGCACGATTGGAGGCGTGGGTGGGGTGCGCGCTGCCTTGCAACAACAAAGCTTTACCTGCATTCTGCACGCCTTTGCGCCTCTGGCTAGCGTCTACTGGGTCAACCAGCCCTCCGACTGGTTGACACAGCTGTCGCAGTGACTCTAGCCATTTTAGCAGAGAGACAGATCAATGCGTACAAAGTAATGGAGGGAACTATTGTAGAATTAGTCAAGCGCGGGAATCCAGAGACGAAAAGTGGTCTCTTTACACGAGTTTCAGATCTTTTACGTTTACTTTTTCTTGACCACCTCAACTTTTTGCTCCAACGGGCAATAAACCTATCGTACCATCTGCCTTTGATTGAATGGAGGGCTAGCAAATCTTTCCTTCCGGAGTGGTGATTGGGGCAAAAGATTAGAATGGTGCTACAGTACTTGAGAAGCATTACATTGATCTTCAGTAACATCTTCAATGAAATTAAGATTCATTGTCGAGAATTGAGGCCCCGACAACGAAATTAATTGAAAAAAAAACTTATGTATATCGCACGTTCCAAAATTCCTTTGCCAAGAATTTTTGTAAAAAACCTAAGCGTCCAAATAAAGTTGGAGTTAACCTTAGGATAGTCTTCGTGATATCGTCTTTAAGATAGCCCTTTTGAAAAAAAATGTTGGAAGCAGTAATAACCACATTAGCGTTTCCGCTAGATACTTCGAGAGAGAGATGTTGGAGATCAAACCTGATCGGGATTTCCTTTCATAACCCCTAAGACTAATACCTATGCTGATTTCGTCGGAAGTCCCAAATCTATTGGACCTACGCAGAATTCAAGGTGTGATAAGAAACCACACCACTCTAGCGCGCCACCCGCTGGCTGCCGAAATATCCAGATTTTGAACAACATCATTTTCGGGGCAAGGAATGAAATCCCAGAGATCTATACCTGAAGGAGTACTTCTTGCTCAAGTTTGGATGGAGAGGAACATCTCCGGGTAAACTGAACACGCTTTTCACAATTTTTAACAATTTTTGTTGAACAGTTTAGCTCATATCAGTGGTCAGCAAAAAGCATCAATAACGGGTACCCCAGTAACTAAGCTGCACAGACAGTAGCAATATTTCTCGCCTAAGACGATCTATCTCACCTTGCTCACTTTATGGCCTAACTCATGCTTCCGAACAGTTAGATCGTGGCAAATCAACAAAATGGTCTTTCCTTAGGAACTCTAGCACGTTCTTCGTGCTAGAGTTCCTAAGGAAACGCATGCCAAAATATACTCCATGCTTACAGCTGACTTGGTACCACAGCGAAGCAAAGATAAGTGAGAGATGATAATAATGAAGGAAAAAATAAGGTGGAGGTAGGTTCCGTATTCTGGACATTGAACAGTTTTCTATTGAATAGTGAAATTTCCCCGCTACCCAAAACAACATACCAGTCAGTTCACTGAGAACCTGCGATACGCTGGCGCCATGTAACAATGTCCATCCGTGGCAACGATACGAAGTAATCACAGCATCACCATCTGTCATAGCTGCTTTTATGCCAACAGCACAAGCTTCCTAAAGATGAAATTTTTCGAGTGACGTTGAATCAAGTTCTAAGCAGCAATAATACCTGGCCGGAGTACAGATGACAGAAACCGCCAATTCTTCTTCTCCTTATAGAGGTTTGAAGCAGCCGACTCCATTCGACGAATCAACTGAATTATTCGAATTAAAATACCAAATTACAACTTATAAGACCGCTTTAGTCGTGGAAAGAACGGGGTCCCTTACCTGCATTTGCCGATAAAAGC